GGGGAGACGGACAGGGGAAGGGGTTACTCTGGGCCCCGCCCCCAGCCCAGAGGCCCACCTTGGTAGAGGGACCTCCACGCATGCGCATCTGCAGAATGGCTGCAGCCAAAGGAGGGGCCACGTCACCTCCCCCCCCACCACCAGGGAGGAACGACTCACCAATTTTGCACCAGGGACACAAGTGGTCCACAGATATTCTTCACAAGTGGGGACCCGCAAGGAATCTGCGGGCCGGCTGGGGGAGGGAGGGAGCTGGGCCTGGGGACAGCGGCAGCAGCAGCGGTGGGGAGGGAGTCGCCATGCCGGGCTGTGGGGGTCTTCCCCTCCCACCCCTGGCAGGGCTGCCCATGCCGGGCTACAGTGCCCACCACCACCATTCTGACAGAAAAGCATCACCTGCCCCTGCACAGACAACCCTCCTCCCCTTGGAGGGATTCACAGCCCCCACCATTCCTGCCACGGCTTTTTAGATTTCTCTGCAAACTTGACCCCCCCCCTCCCCACTAAAGTCTGCAGGAAAACACTTCCTGCTTTCCACCTGACTTCAACCTGTGGGTGTAACTAACCACGGACCAGGGCACCGTTAGCTTAGAGAACACGTGGGGGGGGGGGGGGGGGAGGAAGAGGCAGAACGGAGTCCTTGGAGGGTGCCCACGTGACCTGCAGAGCTTTACAGTGCACCTGGAGCTGCCTTGCGCTGAGCCAGGCCCTTGGTGGTCCTCCATCCAAGTCAGTCTCGTCCACTCAGACTGGCAGTGGCTCCCTCTCCCCCCGGGGGTGTCAGGGTGAAGTCTTTCCCATCACCTCCTAACTGATCCTTTGAACTGGAGATGCTGCCGGGGATTGAACCTGGGACCTTCTGCACGCCAAGCAGAGGCTCTGCCACTGAGCCACCACGGCCCCTCCCAGCCCCAAAGAATGTGCCAGACTGCCTCCCCCCCAGCTACCCCTCCCGAAACCCCACTGGCCCCGCCTGGCCTGACGACTCACACTGCCAAAATATTTGTCCAGCAACTCGACGTATCGGTGGATGAGCTCCAGCGTGATCAGCTCATTGTCTTGCTCCTCAATGGCACAGCAGAAGTACAAGCTGGCGTACCTGGGCACACAAGAGAGAGAAACGGGGCGGGTCAGGCTTCTTGCCAGCTTTGCCACCAGGCTCTTAGGGCACCGACTGATGGCATGGGCCCTGCCCCTCTGGCCCACCAAAGGTATCTGATCACCCCCAGCAAGGTCAAGCCCAGCCGCACACCAGCAAAGGCACCCACCCAGGGCAGCGGAGCCCTCTCTGTGGCGCCACCTCCCACCGGCAGTCGCCGGGGGTGCCCTGGCTGGAGAACTGTCCCTGTCCCGGCCACCCTGGGATCCAGCACCCATCCTGCTCAGTTCTCCCCAGGACTGAGAATTAGCTGGGAGTGATAACAGTAGAGAGGCAGTGTGGTTGGGGTAGTTAAGAGTGCTGGACTAGTGAGACCCAGGATCGAATCCCCTCTCATACCTTGGAAACTGGCTGGGTGACCTTGGGCCAGTCACACTTGCTCAGCCTAACCTACCTCACAGGGTTGTTGTTATGCAACATAAGCGGTTTTGCGTCCCCGCTGGGGAGGGTACAAATGAAGAGCCTGCCACAAAGGCCAATCAAATGCTGGCCGGCAGTGGAAAGGGAAGGGAAGGAAGGGACTGCCCACTGAGAGATGGACTTTGTGGCAGAGCTGTTTCCAGAAGGGGGTGGGGTCATCGGAGGGCTGTGCCTGCCGGAGCTGGGTGGGAAGACGCCCCCGGAAGAGAAGCAGCACCCAGCTCTGAGGGGCCCCTACAGGTCGCCTGAGCCTCAGCAGCCCAGCCGGGGGCCCTCTGAGCCTGCCTTGCTGAGTGGGCTGCAGACCTGAGGGCGGAGGGAAGGCATGAGACCCCTGGGGGGGGGGGTGTCTTCCTGACCTGCAACCCAGTCCCTCAGCCACCTTCCTTTCTGGGAGGCACCGGGGGCTTCATCCTACCACACAACCAGCTGTCCCTCTCCCGAATACACAGCAGGGGGGGCCCCCACAACCCCCACAGGGGTCAGAGCCACACCTCAGGAGGTGGCGGTGGCTACAAGCATGGAGGGCTTCAAGAAGGAATTGGACAAGCCTATGGAGCAGAGGTCCATCGGTGGCCCCTATGAGCCACAAGGTATAGATAGGGGCTCTGGGGCAGGCGATGCTCTGTCTTCTGTGTGGCTGAGGGGGGGGGGTCAACAGTGGGAGGGGCTTCTAATGTCCCGGCCCCACTGCTGGACCTCCTGGTGGCCCCTGGTTTTTGTGGCCCCTGTGTGACACAGAAGAGTGTTGGACTGGAGGGAGCACTGGCCTGATCCAACACGGGCGCTTCCCTAATGTCCTTATGTTCTCAAAGATGGGGACAGGGTAGCAGCAAGGAGACCCCAGAGCAGGGAGAGGAGCACAGAGAAAGCAGAGCACCCCACGGAGCAGCCCGCCTAGGCCGCCCCTAGCCAGGCCCCCCACACAGCGCCCCACGGGGCCTCCCCCCCCCCGCTGCACAGACTCACCTTTTGTAGACCACCTTCAGGTCCCGCCACTCCAGAAAGCTGCACATCTTGGGCTTGCGGGCCAGCACCACCTGCATGAGCTCCCGCACCATCTTCTTCTTGTCCTTGTCGGAGGTGGCCAGGTACCACTTCTGGAGGCGCAGCTTCCCTTGCCGGCTGAAGAGCAGCATGAAGCGCATCTGCGGGGGGGGGGGGGGGGGGGGGGGGGGGGGGGGGGGGGGGGGGGG